AGTAGAGAGCCAAATATTGTTCTATAGAAAGGAATCAAGAGGCAAGATAAAAAGAATCCAAATTTAGAAGGTATTTTCTAAATTTTTCGGTAAAAAAGAAAAATGTACAATTTGAGATTGATCGAGAGGGTTTGAAGAGATTCAAGAATTCATTACTTTTCTTCTTTTTCTTCATATATCTCAAATTTGTGTGATATCTTATTATTTCTACATGATTTCTTGTAACTTTGCGATGTTAGGCTTAAATTTCAGTCGTTAAGACTTGGATGAACCCTTTGTATGATATTTTAATAATATTTTCAAGTCTTTGGCATTATATATTTGTTTATCTTAGACGATTGTTGTAGAATTAATGGTTTTCTAATAATTAGTAACTAATTAAATTTTTATATGATCTTTATTGTATTCAAGAAAAATAATAAAAAATATATTACATTATAACAATTATTGGGGAATCATGCCTTGTATCATTTTAATCGATGTTTCGTGAGAATCGGATCTGTAACATTTTATCCGGCTTGAAGTCTTAAAGACAGCAGGTCAGGAACACATTGATCATAGTACTTCCATTATGAAGTTACACACTTGCATATTAGATACGTTGGACACGACTTGATTAAGTAAAAAAAAACTAAAATTTATTGTTTACTACTGCAAATCAAACAGTATCCTAAATATAATTAGTATGTAGTATTAGCCCTGCGCAGCTTCAATCACTTATTAACCATCACTTGATCTTCTGCTGCGCCTCCCTCTTGCAATATTCTGTAAAAGGTATTCTGCTATAGTTTGCCCAAACACCTCAAAAAGCCCTCCTACGAATTTAAAAACCGCCTGAGTAGCAAGCCCCTTTTTCCAATCGTGCTCGGCTTTTCCAGGGAAGGGATACTCCAGAGCTAGCCCGTTTATCAAATTCTTAGCACAAACTGCATGGAGATGGTAATCACAAACGGTGCAACAGTATACTCGACCCGACCTCGTCTTCTTGCACTCACGGCATAGAATCCTGTTATCGGTACTCGATGAGGATGTATTCAATGGTGGTAACAGTTTCAATGTATGTGGATGCACTGGAAAGTTCATTTCAGTTGAAAGCATTGCGCAGCAAGGGTGCATCTGGAAACTACAAGCTCTACATCTGAAACTAAATCCTTTGTTTGTTTTGTTACAAACATCACACTTTGGTCGCGAAATTCCAGCTATTGCTGACAGTTAACCACCATGTTATTGTCAAGATGATCATAGTACTTGCAAAGAAAAGAAGAACAAATAGCTTTTATACTGCGAGTCGTACCTTGTTTTGTTTTAGCGTGGAACACGAGTTGGTGTTGGCCGTGGAGGGGATGGTTCTGTAATATTGGAGGCGACAAAGCACAAAACTCGTGGAGCTGAATATCACATTGCTGGCATGCAAATCTCTTCCCAGATCCATCGTCCTTGCAGCCAGTGCACGTAAATAGTTCAGGCAGATTAACTT